GGGCAGAGGCGAGTTCTTTTCCATGCTTGTCAACCAGACGATGCAGAGCCAACACGTCTCCTTTCCGCCCTGCTACTCGTGACGTGAGAGAGGGCATCTAGAGGTCGAGCTCACCTCACCACAAAGAGACACACACACACACACACACACACACACACACACACGCACACACGCACACACGACACACACACACACACACACACGCACACACACATACACGCACACACACACACATACACGCACACACACGCACACACGCACACACACACACACACACACACACAACACCAACAGCCAGAAAACAAAGCACAGCACACGGTGTGCCTGCAAGCAACACGAGACACGAACCTTTTCACGATCGGTCATGGTGTCATCGCGGTCAATATCGGCCATGATGTCATCAACGAGTGCCGGACGAGCATCGGCCGACTCGTCCACCTTTCGTGACGACTGCGGTTCACGGCCCTGACTCTGTTGCTGCTGCTGTTGGTCTCGCTGGTTCTGCAGTTGAGAGAGCGCTTGCTCGACGGAGAGGCGGCGTGCACGCTCCTCGTCAAGACTCTGCAGCGAAGAAACGAGCAAGCACAGCAAGGGAGCGGAATGGAATTATTGGATGGAATGGTGTGGACAGCTGACTGTCCCGCGCATCGTGTTGTGACAGCCGATGCAAGCTCGTTGCCAGTGCGTGAACAGCCACAGCAATTGTACACACACACACACACACACACACACACACACACACACACACACACACACACACACAAGTTGGAGTGGAATGCAGGCCAGAGATATCACCTCTTGGATGTTTTGCATGTCTTCGCGTGCACGGGCAAGCTGGTCCGTCAGTTGCGCATTCAGGGACTATCGAGAGAATTAAGGAGATATGTATGGCGAGAGAAGGAGAGAGAGAGAGAGAGAGAGAGAGAGAGAGAGAGAGAGAGAGAGAGAGAGAGTGTGTGTGTGTGTGTGTGTGTGTGTGTGTGTGTGTGTGTGTGTGCGTGCGTGCATATGTGTATTTGCGTGCGTGGTACGTACGACATGCCGCATGTGTCACGCACGTCTCACACGAAAGAGCGAGATAAAAGGTCATTACCACTGGTGGACTGTTTCCACTCCTTCACACGACTCACCTCAAAGTGCTTTGACAAGTCCTTTTCTGCCTCCAGCTGTTGCAGCGTGCGATACAGATCCTGCGCTTTCTCCTTGAACGCCGCCTCCTGCACGCCACACACACACACACATACAGCGCAAATGGGGGTGGTGAGTGCAACACGTAGTCATAGACAGTGTATATGCTACAGCAACCAAGCGCAAACAACGAACTTGCTCAGACTACGAAACACCACAGACACAACACAACACAACACAACACAACACAACACAACACAACACACCAGTTCCTCCTTCTGCTTTGTCAGACGGTCGTGTGCAGCGGAGAGACCAGATCGCCTCTTCGCGCTGCCAATCATCACGCGCGTTATGTCCATGTGAGTGCATCAGCGGCAGGGTGAAGTCAAGAAGCGCCAAGCAAACCTTGTTGTGACAGAGACACGTTGTTTCGTTCGCATGCGCATAAATGCGCGCGCGCACACACATACACCACAATACACCATGACACACACACACACACACACACACAACACATGCGCCATCCTGCTGACCCGAGAGCGGACGGGGCGGAGGGGAGTCGGCGGACTGCCGGCGGCATCGACGCCTGGCGCAGCTCCTCCTCCAGCGACAGCGAATCCTGACCATGGTAACGATGAAGATGATGGATGGGGTGATGGATGGGATGATGGATGGGGGTGAGTGATGGATGGGGGTGCACAGACGGGAATAAACCTCACGTGCACATGCAGGCGTCGTGAGTCTGTGGCAGTACCTCTGCTCCACTCTCTGTTCCGTCAGTGAGAGCGCCGAGTGATTTCCTGCTCGTGAGGGGGGAATCCCGCAGCTGTTGCGTCAACTCACGCGACTGCAATACAGTAGTACAGTGTGACCAACAGTGCACGTGTGAATTGTGGCGGAGGCAATGGAAACTGGTGCGACACGTGTCAACGAGAATGCGGAACATGTTGTGGATCTGAGTGCAACGCGTTTAGCATCACACACACACATATTAATTGTACCTGTCGGCGGAGTTTTGCGTTTTCCCTCTCGAGCTGCTTGAATCGCGCCACTTCCTCGGCAAGGGCATCGCGCTCGTGCTGCACGTCCCTGATGATGAACAGACGCATGCGTGTGGGCTTGTGCGTGAATACATGGTTTGCACGTGGGGGAGGAATGGAGACGCGAGCACACACAACACACATACACACACACCCACAACACAAAATACACACAATACACACAATGCACACAATTCACACAGACGCAGACACAATGGTTCTGCACTTACTGCAGTGTTGCCTCCTGTGCGCGCATTTGTTGGCGAAGGCGTTGGCCGTCGCTGCGAAGATGTTCAAGCAGGCGCTCCTTCTTCGTCTCCACCGTTTCCGCGCTCTGTGCAACACGTTACAGTTTGCACGCAGGCAGTAACGTCAGCAGTACAACTCGCACTCCTGATGATAGTGGAGTACTGCTTGCAGGCAACAGGAGCACACGCGGAGGCACAAATACACACATACACACAGACACAAACATAAACACAGACACAGACACAGACACAGACACAGACACACACACACAGCAGAAAGAGTTCGGCCTCACGTACTTTGCGAACAGACGCGACCTCGCGCTTGAGGGCCTCGTTTTCGTGTCGCAGATCAGCTGCTGCGCGCTTCGCATCATCGCCCTCCGCCAGGTCTTGCTTGAGTGCGGCAACTTCTGAAATCAGCTGGGACCGCGCCTCTTCCAACGACTTGCACTTGCCTGCGGTGGCATGGGTTTGCGTGCAAGGTGAGCTCATGGCATGAGTGATGAGATTTGCAGCAGGTGCTAGAGGCAAGAGAGGCAAGGAGGAAGCGACACGAGAGCCGACACAAAACAACTGATAGCGGACGTCAACCACGTGCAACATCACATCACACTTCGCGTCTGCGTCAATTCTGCCTGCAGTTCCGTAATCTCGCGTTCCGCCTCTTCATTGATTCCCTGTTTTAACACACAGTGTGTATGTGTATATGAGCGCGTGAGTGTATGAGTGTATGAGCGTATGAGTGTATGAGTGTATGTGTGTGCATGTGTGAATGAGTGTATGAGTGTGTGAGTGTATGCGTGTGCATGTGTGAATGCATACGCATGTGTGCGTGCATCGGTGTGTGCTCAAAGTTGCTGGTGGAACTGTTTTGAGGTTTCAAGTGTTGTGCGCACCTGGGCCGCCATGTCGTTGTCGTGCAAGCGTTGCTGAAATGCCACTTCTTGCTTCTTCGCCTCTTCCTGCAATGTGTTCGCATGCCACACAGTCATCAGTCAAACCGTGCCTGCAGGCACCCTAGGCGTCCTCAGCCTCATACCAAGTACAACACACAACCAAATACAACCACGAACATGGACGCACCTCAAGCTCAAGCGCGCGCTGTCGTGCGCTTGCTGCTGCGTGCTGCGCTGAGCGTGTTGCGTCCTGGAGAGCGCCAACGCACGCGGATACAATGGACGGCAGCTGCGTCTCGCCTGTGTCGTCAATGCATTCCTGGAACACATGAAGACAATAGATGGGGGGGGGGAGTGGAGTTGCCAGGAATTGCGTAAGAGTTGCGGTTAAAGTAATGGGTGAGCGATGGTAAGATGTGTGTTGGGAGCAATGAACAGCGTTACGGCCGATAGGATGCTCACGTGAACAAGTGCTTGTTGGCCTTTAAAGTTCACACACACACACACACACGCACACACACACACACACACACACACACACACACACACACACACACACCCACCCACACACCCACACACCTGGAGGAGATGCGTGACCTCCTGTCGGGTAAATGCAGAGTGCGGGGAAACCCCGAGTTGGTTCGCAAGCAGTTCTTGGAAGTCATCTGACGTCATCATTCGCTTCAACTCTTCGTCGTAAGCGCGTCTGTCATGCACGGCAGCGAAAAAGGGCGGCGGAGCAGACGGGGGGGGGGAGAGACATGAAGTAACGTGACTTGAGACGAATTGAAGTGATGTGATATGAATATGAGAGTAGTTAGAGACAAGAGTACACGCAACAGCGTGCAAGTCGTGACAGGTTCCAGCAGCAGTCAACTCACTGCGCCGGCCCGGGGGATGATACGGGTGATGTGCTGTAACAATCAAGGAAGCAAACAAGGCGTGATCGTGAGATCGTGCACAGTCCCTCTAATCGTGCACGCACTTGCACACAAGAACACACCACACACACACACACACACACACACACACACACACACACACACACACACACACACACACACACACACACACACACACACACACACACACACACACACACACACACACACACACACACGCCGCACACATGCATCTACACTTGGACACGGCTGCACAAGTGCTGTCATTCACGTCACTGACTTGATTGCGTCAACAAGGCAGTGCGCAACATCTGCGATTGTGAACGTGTCAGCATCTTGAAGATTGTGGCGTTGAAACATCTGAAAGCAGTGGCATACATGGTAGATAGCAGCAGGAGCAGCATGAGCGGCGGCAAGTCAGGTGAGGGATGTTGGAGGGTGCTGACGTACAATTGGAGAGTTGAACGAAGAAAGCACATCAGCGTGTTTGCACTCCAACATTACTGCGTGGCCGTTGTAGCAAAGATGATGCTGCAGTTTGCAATACCTCCTGAATTGCAAGATCCTTTGGAGATTGCGTTGTCACTCCAAAGGGCAGTGACCCTCTGCACAAGCGAGACAATGCAACCAGAGGCTGTACATCAGCATGTACGTGTGGCAGTCACGCAGCACCGTCATAAGCACACACGCAGCTGCAAACACAGAATCGCACACGCAATTGTAGGGCTGGTTCCTTGCCTTTGCTTGAGTTTGCGGCGCTCGAGTGTTCCTCTACTTCGGGCCAGCTTTCGCGGACTCGGGGCACCGCGCGATGACATCTGATGTCGAGCCCACAACCAAACGCAACAGGAGCTGTGAGTTGCCACAATTGCAGCACCTTCCAACACACACTCAAGCGCACAAGCGCGAAAGGGATCGTTGTGACACGTACCCCCCCCCTTTTTTTTTGTTTGTCTCACCTCAAGCAAGTTGAACATGGTGGCGAGGAGCGTGGCGATGTCCCGCTTCGAAGTGTCCGGGCCAAGAAAGTCTGCATGCAAGCAAGAGGGGATGAACAACGGCAGGAGTGTTGTGAATCAAGTCGCAGTGTTCTGCCTGGTACGTTTACATGCAACGAATTCGCGTGCGTGCGTGCAAGCAAGCAAGCAGGCAGGCAAGCAGGCAGGCAAGCAGGCAGGCATGCAGGCAGGCAGGCAAGCAAGCAAGCCAGCCACACACACACACACACACACACACACACACACACACACACACACACACACACACACACACACACACACACCGTCAGCTGCGTATTGTGTGCTTGGGAACCCGAGGGCTTGCATGAGATCGAACGCCATATGCACACGCTCTGCCGTCGACATCTGTGCTTGCAGGCAGCCGCAGATGACCATATGCACAGCACACGTCAGCAGGGTGTCATGTCCCTCACAGGAAAAGCTCGCGACATGCAATTGCACGCCAAGCAAGCAATGGGACAGGTGGAAGCAACGAAACCTTCGTCGTGTTCTCCCAGTCGATCTGCGTTGGATGATATGCTTCCAGCAGTGCCACCAGCGCAAGGCCGTCTCGGAAGGTGCTGTCATCACACCATGCCGGAGGGCACGCGATTGAGCATGAAAAACAGTCGTGAGTGAATGAAGAGTACAGAGCGATGCGGGTGGTGTGGGCACGGCATGCCGCCACACAGGGAGAAGGGGGATGCAAGGAAAGGGAAGGGAAGGGAAGCGAAGCGAAGCGAAGGTAATCCTGGGCAGCCACACGCAGCAAGCACGCACATGCACGTGCACACCGCACGACGCACGCACCCTGGGTTGAGGTCAGGGACGCTCATGCGACGATGCACCTTGGATTGCACCCAGCGCAACAGCTCCGTGTCAAAGTCAGATTGCTCATCTGCAGACAGAGTGAGCAACAGCACCCACATATGCGTAAGACAAGGAGCAAGGTCCACACGCAGCAGCAGCAGCAGCAGCAGCAGCACGCATGCTTGCGCGCGTTCGTTGCAAGGACAACCAAGAGCCAACCTTGCTTGTCAAAGGAGAATCGCCTGATCAAGTGCCAGATGAAGCTGTGGATCTTCTTCTCGTTGAAGGCATCAAACTCTGTTGCAGTGCACGAGGAGGAAAGCATTGTGAATGGCCGCACTGGGAACACGAACAGGTGAACATACATGCATCGGGCGACCTGCAAGGGAGGAAAAGAGGGTGCTTGGGCTTGGCATGTCATGACAAACCTTCAGCTGCAAAGGAAGATGTGTCCACTCCAGACCGTTCAAACAGCCTCAGCGCTCGATGGCAGTTGTTGATGTTGTGGATCTAGCAAAAGGGTGAGTGAGTGAGTGAGTGAGGGAGTGAGTGAGTTGAGTGAGTTGAGTGAGTGAGTGAGTGAGTGAGTGGGTGAGTGGGTGAGTGAGTGAGTGAGTGAGTGAGTGAGTGGGTGGGTGAGTGAGCGAATGCTTGCAGGCATCTCGATTGTACCTTGCTGGTACCAGTCTCTGGTGTTCCTGACGGAAGGCCGGTCAAGTCCTCTGCCAAGGCCAAGAGCTTCCTCCCATCCCTTTCACACGGCAGGGTAGGCCATTGCGCATGAGAGGGAAGATCGCAAAGCAGCAATCCGAGAGACCAGTACAGACACACAGACAGGCAGACAGACGCACACAGACACACACACGCACAGACAGGTAGACAGGCAGACAGGCAGACAGACAGACAGGCAGACACACAGACACACAGACAGACAGGCAGACAGACAGGCAGGCAGGCAGGCGACAGACAGACAGACAGACACACAGACAGACACACACACACACACACACACACACACACACACAGAACTCACTGAAAGTCATGGATGCTGGAGATGGTGGTTTGCGTGCAGGCATTCCGAAGCCACGCCAGGTACAGCTGCATACATACACAAAGCAAGGCCACACACGTATGCACACGACCCGGAGTGACGCTGGTGAGCACTCACATCACTCACACATCACTCACACATCACTCACTTCAGAGCAGTATCCACAGCATCGCATGACATCCCTTCCTCAAGACCGCACCTGTGGGTTGGTGGTTGCCATTGTTTTGCTTCGTTGTTGTTGCTTTGTTGTTTGTGGCGAAAACGTTTCTGTGTTGTGTTGTTGTTTCATTCATCGCGGTCCACTTCGAATGTCGCATGTTGGACCGTTCGCTTTCCAGACACACGCCATACGCCACATGACACGAGCAAAGGGCTACGAGTCTCGTTCACTCTCTCTCTAGAATAACACACGAAAAGGAGAAGGAACAAGCAGTTGTTGCCGCACACGCATATGGGGCGCAGCACAACTGTACACACGAAACAAACGTGCACAAGCATTCTCCAACTCGCACACAAGAGCACAGCTACCATTGGAAACACAAGAAGCACGGGAAGCAAGATGAGAGGGGCAGTGGACGAGGAACACACCAGGGCAACCAAAGCGAATGCCAGCGTAACAAGGGGGAAAAGGGTGCATGCACAGGCAAGTCAAAGCAGGCACGCATGCGTAGACAGAAGGAAAGCAGAGCAAACAAATGTGAGAGAGACAAAACAGAACGAGGGGACAATGGGGATCGGATGCCGCCACCAAAAAGCAGGCGGTACATCACTCACTATAGCCACAACCACACACACACACACACACACACACACACACACACACACACACACACACACACACACACACACACACGCACGCACAAAATCACAGAAACAGCATCGAGGAAGCAATGCTTGCTTCATGGATGCTTGATTAATCACCAAGACCGTATTTCAGGCCAAACAACAGGCCAAACAGAACACACCAATGACACATGCGCCAGCGACACCACCAATCACACGCAAGGCAGCACGACGTGCACAGAAAAAAAACAAAACAAGTGATCAGCGAGGGCGGGTATTGCTGGGGGGGGGGATGATGTTCCTGACAAGCTATCACGACCTGTGTGTGCAGAACATAGGGCGATGCAACAATGAGCTTGAGAGACGGGAAAAAACGAGAAAGGAGACGGAGGGGCAAAGAAGGAAAAGGAGAAAGGGAGGAGACATTTCACACATGCACACGTGCACAGACAAACAGACACACAGACACACACAGACACAAGCAACGTACGCATTTCTGAGTGGGGATGGTTTGGAGGGGGCTGCGGTTTGGGCCTGGCTTCCGTTTGCGGTCATGTCACCACTGCTGCGAAGATTGAGGACGCGGCTGTACTGCACAGCGCTCGATGTGGACCCCCGATTCGGCATGCGCCGGTCCATCGACGGACTCCTCTGGTCACGCACCGCCCGCTCCTGTGGCCGTGCACGCATTGTGCGTGTGTATGTGTGTATGTGCGCGCGCGTGTGTTGAGCGGTGCAGTTGTCGATGACACTGCCTCAACCAGAGAACGCATGTATGCAAGCACGACTGTCGTTGCAAGCAGACCACCCACCCACACACACACGCACACACACACACACATGCCGTACCGACTGCTTGAGGAGGTTGAGTGTTTTGACGGAGACAGCGCCGCTGTTTCGCGGCAACTGTCGTCTCTTGCGGAACCACCTGTGCACCGACAATCCCCACCACAATGCGACGGTCACGCGACGTAAGACAACCAAACAACGAACCCGAGCAAGTACGGCTGCATTCTCTACACTTGGCTACACTTGGCTATACTGTCTTCGCCTCCGCACTCCATCCACCCATCTCCTCGTGTCTCCACCACCACCGGCTACAATGCCGCCCCACATCGACATCCCCACCCCCCTCTCCCTTCGGCGCATGCACATGTGCGCACCTGAACCTGCGCCGCCTGCGACCCGAGATTGCCTTCTGATAATCGACGCGTGCCGTGTCCTCGTCAAGCTGCTGTGCCGCCTCCAGCACGGGCACGGGCACAGTGCCAACCTGGTCAGCATGCCTGGTGCGTCGCGCCACGCATGGTGTGTATTGGGCGCGTGAGCAACAGTACAGTGGAGTACAGTACAGTAGAGTGCAGTACAGTACAGTACAGACAGACAGACAGACAGACACACACACACACACAGACAGACAGACACACACACACACGTTCATACGCTCTCCCCATCTCTCTCACACTCTCTTGCTCTTGTGCAATGCAGGCACATGCACGACCACGACCATCAGCAGCAACGCACTCGATCAAGAGGGCAGTGATGCCGACGCAGGACGCGTGGTTGGCGAGCTCGCGTGGAGACGTGACATCGGAATCGTCGAGGGGCTTGATCAGGTTTGGTGCCAGGATGGAGGCGAGCGCATCAATCGTCATCTGGGTGCTGTCCTGCTGCGCAATGTCCCGAAACAGCAGCAGCAAGAAGCTAGTGGTGACAGCAGCATATGCAGTGTTAAGTGAGTGAGTGAGTGAGTGAGTGAGTGAGTGAGTGAGTGAGTGAGTGAGTGTGTGAGTGGGTGAGTGAGTGAGTGAGTGAGTGAGTGAGTGGGTGAGTGAGTGAGTGAGTGAGTCAGTGAGTGGGTGAGTGAGTGAGTGAGCGAGTGGGTAGTACATCCAGAGAAGGGGGGGGGAAGTGCAATGGTGACAATCACAATGTCCACAGCAGGCGCTACCTGAGAGTGTGTAAGTGTTCCTTTGGCAGCAATAAACAAAGCATGAAGATGGCGCTGTGTTGGACTTCCAAGTCCTGCACACATGTGCGAATGAACATGGCCAGTCTTTGAGCAACAGCGTCCACTCAGATTTGATTTGGTTTGATGACACCAGCCAAACACAGACACACACACACAAGACGCAGACACAGACACAGACACAGACACACAAACACACACACAGACACAGACACACACACACAGACACAGACACACACACACACACACACACACACACACACACACAACAACACACG